CTCGACGCTCCAGGGGAAGCTCCGCGAGCGGGCGCGCGCGCGCTGCCCGGGAAAAAAGGGAGAGAACGTGCGACGGGGCACGCGTGGCGAGAAAGCGATAGAGAGACGTCCAGACGACGCGCGCCACCAGCAAAAGGTTAGAACACGGAATAATCAGCAGACTCGAGGACTACCGGCGTAGGGCAACGATAACGATTTCAAGACCAGACGAAACTGTCACTCCAGGAGACGCCCCGGTATACACACACCCTCTACCCCCTCTTTCTTGCGTTCAATGACGGTTATGTTCTGGAAATTAGGCGACTCTGACGGGGCATTTCTTTTGGTCGCTTGAATTCTTTTCTCCTAGCGAGTTCGGTAGTTCAAACGGGGTGTGTTCAATTTTTAATTAAAATCAATTTTGGAAATGGAGGTATTGTCTTTTCTTTTTTTTTTTTTTGAAGAGTGTGAAAGTTAAATGTCACTGAAATTAAATAAATAGTATAATGTATGTAGTTCTGGTTCTTCTTTTTTTTTTTTGTTTTTGTTTTAAGGGATTACGTTGGAATCGTCAAGATGAGTTTAGGTTATGCAATTGTGGGAATCGTTAGGGTGAGTTTAGATAGTGTAATTTTGTGGGTTTGTGAAAATCTGCTTTTGGTTCTTTTTAAAGGGGTTACTGCTAAATGAGAGTTAGAAGATATCGTTACTGATAATACTCTCACGAAACGCTTGATTTCCAGTGAAACAGCTACTGCATTGTTATTAACACTTACGAATATTAAGAATATTCATCAAAAAGTAAGGTAAATATTCCTTCCAATCCACAAACCTCGTACATTAAACTCGAGCCGAGAAACTCACCACTTCTGAAATTATCGCAATCTACGCCAACCCTCGCTTCAAACAAACCATATTCCAAAAAATACCACCTTTTATCTCCCAGATAAATCCTCCATTAAAATATAATCCCTCACAACTGAATTACCATTCGGGAACTTCCAACAGCAATAATACCCCGAACATCCCCCTAATTCCAGCTTCTTAAAACAATAGCCCGAAACCGTTTCCAGAATCAGGATCGTCATCTTGACGCAGCGTTACCCTAGACGATAAACCACAAAAACACGCGGAGAAACCCAACAAGGAGGAAGAAAACCGAGGGAAAATGTGCGACAAACGTTTGTGCGCCTGCGAGAAGAAGACGATGCCCGGTTTCATGAGTCCGGACGACGAAAGCGTGAAGGCCCTCGAGGAGGCCTACTCGGAGTACATGAAGGTCGACAGCGAGTCTCTGCTAAGGAAACACTTAACGCAGCAGGTGTTCGATACGCTGAAGGCCCGCGTAACCAACACCGGCTCCACCTTGATGGACGTGATCCAATCGGGCTTAAAGAACCCTGATTCGCACGTGGGCCTGTACGCGGCCGATCAACATGCTTACGACGTGTTTGCTGGTCTGTTCGACCCGGTGATCGAGGAGTATCATGGTGATTTCACCTCGAACGATGTTCACCCGCCGTTGGACTGGGGAACGGCTGACGAGCTGGGCGATCTCGATCCCGAGGGAGGGTTCGTGATCTCGACGAGGATTCGTTGCGCGAGGTCGGTCGACGGATATCCGTTAAATCCCACCATGACCGAGACTCACTATACGGAGCTGGAAAGAGAGGTATCGAAAGGTCCATTGTAATATGAACGGAGAGATCTTTGCCGGGTTTTAACGCTGGCACGGCTGTTGAAAGGAAAATCGCTGAGCCCTTGGATTCTTGTTTTGTATGGTGGCTGGTTAAAGAGGCTCTCTTCTTTCTGGGGCTGGATTTCACGGGTACCGGGAGGGACGGTGGGATAAAAGATTAGATGGAAGTGACGTGTATGAGAAGGTTTAGAGATTTTGGATAAGAGGATGGAAATTAGGTAGCAGGGAAGGAATTGAACGGAGTAAAGGTATGTGTTGAATTGTTCCTTACAATGTGGACGGAGAGTTACGTTTGTGTAGTAGAGTTGGAGGGTGTTTTAATGGTAACGAATAATGTCGAAGGAGAAATTGTTCAATTTTTGGATTCTGGTTTTGTACGGTGGTAGTAGGATTCCTTTTCTTTTTTAGGTACTTTGTTTAGGCACCTTTAGGTAATAGAATAGGAGGGTATTTGGATTCTGGTTTTGTACGGTGGTAGTAGGATTCCTTTTCTTTTTTAGGTACTTTGTTTAGGTACCTTTAGGTAATAGAATAGGAGGGTGCTTTAATGGTAGCGAAGATTTCCGAAGGAGAAATTGTTTTTGGTTTCGTAGGGTAGTAACAGGATTCTTTTCCTTTTTTAGGTACTTTGTTTAGGTACTTTTAGGTAATACAATAGGGTAGGATTTTAATGGTAGTGGAGATTATTAAAGGGAAAATTGTTGAGCTTTTGGATTCCTTTTCTCTTTTAGGTACTTTTAGGTAACACAATAGGATAGGATTTTAATGGTAGCAAAGATTATTAAAGGGGAAATCGTCGAGTTTTTGGATTTTGGTTTTGTATGGTAGCAATAGGATTCCTTTTCTTTTTTAGGTACTTTTAGGTAATAGAATAGGGGGGTGTTTTAATGGTAGCGAAGATTTTCGAAGGAGAAATTGTTTTTGGTTTCGTAGGGTAGTAACAGGATTCTTTTCCTTTTTTAGGTACTTAGTTTAGGTACTTTTAGGTAACAGAATAGGGTAGTATTTTAATGGTAGCGAAGGTTTTTGAAGGAGAAGTCGGTAATTTTTTGGATTCTGGTTTCGTATGATAGCAATAGGATTTCTTATAGTTTTAGGTACTACATTTGGAGGTGGAGTTATGAAATAGAAAGCCAATGATTTGTATGGAATATCGGTATTCTTGGAAGTTTCGAAGAACGCAGGAAATTAATCAAATGAGGATGTGCAAAGACTGAAAGATCGATTCTAATAGACAGGGGTGAATGTTACAAGTTTGGAATAGCTGTTAAACGGATTCTCGTGTCGCTGAACTTTTCATTCTCAATTGTAATAATCGAAGATGTCTCTTTTTTTATATCGTTCGAGATGTTTTCTTCTCGTTTATATATCTATAAAACTGATTAAGTTCATTGGCTTGCTAGGTCAGATCATAAACTCTCTTACGAGAGTTTTGTTTCTCTGCTCAGAAAATATCGACTAAGTTTCGTTCCTTAACTGCGTTCGTCTTCGGGATTAAATTGGTGACCGGTTGGAAGATTAATCTCTACAACTGACCAATATCCGTTCGCGACGTATGCATTTTTCACAAATGTGATACACTTTTTTATTCGTGCAATTTCAATTTTCATCTTTAATTTTCTTCTGCTCTATTCCATCAGGAAGCTTTCAAAACTTGTATCACATAGTTTAGGAACTCCGTAACAATTTTGCGTTTCTACAGAAATTTCAAAATTCAACCTACTTAATTTTTATTTCGAAAAATTCTACATATGGAAACACGTACTTCCACCTGAAAGTAACAAACAACGAGCAATGCTATCGAAGCTTTAAACCACTTCAATCTACTACCAAATACGATATTAAATTCCTCACCCCCACACGCATCGAAAACATCGATAAAAAGGCCCCCCTTTAATCTCTTGTAGAATTTGTATTGTTAAGTGTTTTCTATGTAGTAATTTATAATGATGCTTTGCGTCAATGATAATCCACAGAATATAATAAGTGAGTGTAATGATAATTTGACACAACTCGCAATATTAAGACAACTGTTATGCAATTCTAACGCTATGAAGCAACTTGTATAGCTCCGAAAGAGCTCCAGACAACTCTTGAACGACTCGTAGAACGCTCGTTGTAAGACTCTATCTCCAACACTCGGACGACTCTCACAACACTCTGACTCTGTCTAACACTATGACGACCCTATTTAACACTCTGATTTTACATGCAACACTATGACGACTCTGTCCAACACTGACTCTATCTATAAAGAAAAACATTTCCTTTACGCTTCTTTCTCTCCCAGCACACACACCTTTTTTCCATTAAAAATGGTCAAGGCATCAGTACACCTCGTGCGTCATCGAGGATTTTCGGGACAGTACCTGGCTTACGCCCCTGTCAACTCCCGCTTTCCCTTTCGCAACCTTCGTCCTGAGCTTCTTAAAACTACCCACATTTTCACGACGCTACACTCATTTCTCACCGAGCTCTGTTTGTCAAACCATAAAGAAAAACGGAGAGAAAAAAACAGAGCCAAACAAACTGAACACCTCAGTTAAGGTAGAACTTACACCTCGCTCAATTCGTCAGCGCGTCAACGAACGAACGAATTAAAAAAAAAGAGAAGACAACAATCGACTGACAAAAAGAGAACAACAAGAAAGAAAGCTCGGGGAAAGAGAAAAACAGATAGACAGATGGAAACAGGGAGGAAAGGGACGTAGGAAAGAAGGGAGAGAGAGATAGCAGACGCGATGTCTTCACGGTGCACGGCTCGTTGGAGCGGCGTCGGAAGAGTTAAATCAAGGCGCACAATGTGCACGTAGCTAATTGATTTCTGCTAGCTTGAAAATCCGCTCGTTTCGTTAAGGCGGATAATTGCTTTTTCTAATCGCGTTTTATCCGCCTCGTTGTTGGCCAGACGGCCTGAACACAGGCGAGTATATAAATTCGCCGAGCAGCAAAAACTGCCTGGAAAAATGCCTCTTCTAATCTGTTTACGCTGTGAATCTCTTTCGTTACCTTTTCCACCTGTACCGCTTTATTCCCCCCTCCCTCTCTCTGTTTTCCCTTCTGTTTCAGGTGCAGCAAGCCTTAACGTCGTTAGAGGGGGAACTGAAAGGGACTTATTACAGTTTGGCCACGATGGACAAAGGGACGCAACAACAACTGATAGACGATCACTTTCTGTTCAAGGAAGGCGATCGATTTTTAGAGGCAGCCAACGCCAATAGGTTCTGGCCAACCGGTGAGTAATGATCGTTTCCCTTTCTCCTGCTTCTCCACCTCTTCATCCTGCCCAACCCTAACTTTCTTCAAACTTTAACAGATCGATCGCGATACCCTTTAAAACTGTTCGAAATTTATCGTTCCACGGATTTCTCACTCCCCCCTGTCCCACCCTGCACCAGTCTTCACCCGTGTTCCTCATTCCCATTTTTGCGACCCTTCATCCGCGTTTCGGTCCACGTCAAATGTTCGCGCGCGGCGACCGCTTTCTCGAAAAGGCGTTCCCCACAATGTCCAGAGGCCCACGGGACGTGGATTAATGAGCACGGCGGAGTCGCAACTCTTAATTTTGTTTCAGCACACTTCCACAGAGCCTGGCCGCGCGCCTCGTGTCGGTAATTATATCGTAAGCTGAGGCTAATTTGGCGCCTGGTGTGGATATTTCTGAAGGATTATCTAGCGTTTTTTGTCCGCTTTAGTTGGGTCTTTCGCGGGGTTAATCGCTGGTTCTCCGTGGATATTTATTTGCTACACAGTTTTCGGTATTTTGAGCAGTTTCTTGATGATTTCTCTGACGACATTATTCTAATTTTTATTAAAAGAACGCATTACTCTGGTTTTGCGTGAATATTTACTCGCTACACATTTTTGGGTACTTTGGGTATTTGCAGTAGTTTCCCGATGATTTTGTGTATCTAGAATGCGTAAAAAAATTAAGGACCCTAATACCAAGTTGAATATTTTATTTTTCGTTGAAAGAATGCATTACTCTACTCGTAATTGCAGAAACCCCATTAACAAAATGTAAAATTATTTTATTTTTGGGGTACAAACTTTTGAGAATTTACACCGCTTCTGAGTAATTCGTCGACAATGTTGTCTGCCTACCAAAAACTTGCGAAACTTTCTTCGCTGCTATAATAACGAAAATAGCCAAGCATTGCTCGAAATTCTTGGTTTTAATCAAAACGACGGATTCTCTTAAGAGTCTTCCTGAAAAATTTATCCAAAAAGAGCAAAGCTCCTTTTAAATTGGTAGCAAGGGGTTAAGAAGTTCTAATCAAAACTCTAGCTGATACTTCAAATTTTAAATCCTCCAACTTTAATTCAAAAGCGTAAGTCCAACAGGGGTAAAACTTGTATGAATTTATAGCATAAAGTTAGAAACGGGTCCTATCTCACTATACACTAAAATTAGTCTTAGAAGACTTGAGATTTAAAAAAAAATAATTCCTTAATTTTCTAAGGAAATTAATGCAACTTCAAGAAAGATCCTAAGAGTTTCTCGTACTCTCCAAAGAATCCAAAAAAGAAGTAGATTTTAAACGGTATCATAAAAGAATTGTTCAGACCACAGTTGCCTCCAAATTTTGAACCTCGAACCTCTCCTCATTCTCCTTCTATAGTCTTCATGAAAAGTGGTGCCCTGTGTACTGGTACTATTTGTCAAGCTACCCCGTTCCATTTAAAAAAATTAAAAAATAATGTCCTCCATCGTACCAAACAACTTTTGTACAAACATTTCTCCAACAGCTTCAGTTTCTTTCGAGATCGTCCGCCGTGTCCAGTTAAAAAAGACACCCTGTATATTCTAAGATAATCCACCTCGTCCAGTTAAAAAGAGGCACCTTAAATCTTCAAAAACAATATCACACATTTATGTACATTCATCCGAGTATTTAATATTTTCCACTTTCACTCCAATGAACCTTCACACACACGTCTGTTGCGCTCGCGCACACACGTCTATTGGAGATTGGTTGAAAATAAGAATACACGAGTTGTGGATATGCTTGTTGATTTATTAATTGACGTGAGCCAAGAGGCTGTGTATGTACTCTCCATGTAGATTCGCGAGAGCGATGTGTGTTCTTGAAGAAACAAGCTATGAGACTATTGTACTACCTCGAGAGAGAGAGAAAGAAAGAGCGATGTGTGTTCTTGAAGAAACAAGCTATGAGACTATTGTACTACCTCGAGAGAGAGAGAGAAAGAGGAACTTCGAGGCTCACATGTTCGTCGAGTGAGGCGGATTCTACAGACTGTAATCTGTAATCTTTGCAAGGGTGTGGTCTTTCAGATTCACCTTCTTTCTCTCCCTCTTTCTGTTTCGTGTTCAGGCAAAAATATGTATAATACACCCCTGTGTAACGCCGAGGACGCGATTCTCTGCTGTACGAGTCCTACGAGTCGTATGTAAATTTCGAAATTTCGACGTTACAATTTCTCCATTCTTAACACTATACGGTCCGGGCTGTTTATGGTTATTGGCACATTTTAAGGTTCTCGACTATGTTGCATCGTTTTACAAAAATAGTCGCAGCTTTTAAAGTATCAAATACTTTTTTTGTCAAATTTGAAGCATGTTTAGTCTATTCCAGGGGTGGCCATAGCGCGGCTCTCGCAGGCGAGTGGTGCGGCTATGTATGAAATATGGTAAACTAAAACTGACCGGGGGAGGGAAGATCTGTGGGTAAACTTGAAAAAAATTGAAATGATTTATCAGTTTCTCATTGTTTGTTTTGTTATCAAAGATAAATAAGTGGCTTTTTCAAATATTCCTTCCTGAAACGTGGCTATACGTCGTTCAAAATGAGAGTAACCTCGCTCTCGGACCGATTCACAGAGAAACGGAGAAACACGGAGAAACACGTAGGCAGTTAAGTGGGGGTTTGGACGTTCTAGTGGTTCTAGCCCTGCCTTAGGCACGCCCCATGCGCGAAGCGAGGTTACTCTAATTTTGAACAGAGTACAGTGTATCTGGCCACCCCTGGTCTACTCAATAAGAAACATCACCTTTAACACATATTTATAGGCCGCCGGGCTATATTTAATGCACAGTGTGTAAAACCCTATTTATATGCGTGGGATTTTTGGTACGAAAGAGTGACTGCGGGGAGAGATGGGGAAATGGAGAGAGTTGGCGTGAACGGCCTGGAAAGGAAGAACGAATGAAGACGATCGTGCGTGGCGCGTTTGTTTATGTTTAGACAACAACATGGATTGTCAAGCCGATCGCGGCGTGTGTGTGTGGATGCGCGTGTTCGAGAAAAAAGAAGAAGAGTATGCGAGTGTGTGTGATTGACCAGCGAACGAGAAGCATCGAACCGCGAACATTAAGAGAGCGAATTACATTTTCTTGTGACAAATAAAAATAATATTAGTGAACAGCATCGTCGACGCGTGGGGTACTTTACTTTTTATTGAATAAAAAGTAATCAACAAAATCCCACGTTTCCGGCATTTCACGAGCAGTAAGCAGAACCCATATTTTCATGTCTCCGGACGGTAATGCGTTAATATTACGAATTTTCCTTCCTCCTCCACTGCGCATTTTTCCAAAAAAGCCTAAGGCTTGACTGCAAGCTACAAAGCGACCATGTAAACCTGCATGGATAACGTAAAAGTATTAAAAAATACAGAAACTATGTTTTTCAACAACGCAACAGTAGACCACGTTTCACTCCACATTTAAAAGAAACCGAAAGTTGATTCCACGCAAAAAGGAAACGTTACTCTGGGAGAAAGTGTTTTCTGCAAAACGCAATGTGCGCCCTTATCAACTGAATTATTCCACGCAAGGCACTTTAGCCTACTTTTAAAAGGACGGGGGAGATATTTCAGGTGGTAAAGATGAACGAACCACTTTGTAAACGCGAACACTGCTTCGCTGTGGTATTTTGACACGACATCGAAAATTCGCGTTAATTAAAGTTCGAATGAAAACGTCGATATAATGGGAGAAGCGAAGTTGATTTATCGAGATTAAAAAAGAGAAAAAAAGAGCACCGCGTGTTACACATCGTTACATCATCGGCTATCCAAACTAATCTCTTCAGCGTGGAATTTCCTACGACGAGAAATCGAAGTAACCACTTAACGAGCGGGGTATAATTACCGTTATTTCGCGTAGTTTATTCTCACGCGTTCGCAAGCTTCGCGAATTACCGTGAAATCGAAGGCAATGCCAATCGAGATCCAGGTGAGATTCCATCCGCGGGCTGTACGTTTCATACGCCGCGTCTGGAAACTCAATCGCGAATTTGAAATAACTTGAAATCGTTCGCGAAGCGACTCCCTTAATCTTTGCTCCAAGTCAGCTTTAAACTTGAAATTACTCTCAAGCGTCTCTTCGGCTGTTCAACGTTTCGTTCTTGCCCCAGCAATTTTTCCCCTCTTAATCTTGTTTTCGAACGGGACTACCAGGTGAATTAACACAGCAATTTTCTCCCAGGACTCTCTTTTACACGAACGCCTGTAATCGTTCAACTGATTTTTTGCACCGAATCCCAGCATTGATTTCTTCCGCGGAAAATGGCGATCAATTAAAATCCCCTTCTGAACGCTCGTTTCTCTTCTAGTCGAAGTCTTTCCTTCACTCGCTCATTCTAATTTCGTCTCAACTTTTTCTTTTTCAATGCTTCGTTCTACGCTACAGTTCGAAATTCTAGATTTATACGAAACTCTGAAGTATTAAGTTGATGCAGAGGAAGTGTTTCGCGAACAGTTGAAATTTAATTTTTAATTTTGGTCGAAAGAGAATTGGCGTGGCGTAGAAATCGAGTGGAATAGGGTGGAGTGAGATACAGCGACTCTTACTAATATTCGGACACTCTTTAGAACAGTATAACTTTTTCTAAGTTGGATCAAACGACTTGAGTTTTTTTTTGAGAAGTTAGAAGGATTAGTATACTAGACGACGTGTATGAAATTTTTTGAAAATATTGCAATTTGTGGGAATCACGAAGAAAATTGTAAAAGTCACATTTAACAACTTCTTTTTTCTGAGCGCGAAATGAAAACTTAAAAGATACGCTTATATCCTCTAGAAAAATGGAAACTCTACGTTTAGCAGTTCCTTGTGAAAAAAATTCCTAAACTCTCTCTTTTGTTTAGACGCTTCAGCGAAAGTAGAAGTTTTACAATTACTCCTCCATTTTGTAATTTTGTTACTTTTTAAAAATTTGGGAAGAAGGTTGAAAGTTGCATTTATATCCTCTAGAAAAATGGAAACTCTAC